AATGTCCAACAATTAACACAAGTCAGTCCTGACTCTGACAGCTAAGAATTAAAGGCGAGGCTACAGTCCAATCTCCTTACACAATCCGTATCTCAGGTTCAAGACTAATGGAAATCCTCCACAGGAAACATCTAACCTGTAAGAATTAATATTTCTCATTGCACTACTACACTGTTTTTTATAGAACACTGTCACTTCCAGCTGCAATCTTTCTCTGTAATATGGTAACCAAGTGGCCCTCCACTATTAGTTACCTAGTCAGGATTGAAAAAACAGACTGAACACATATACTATTTTCCAAAACCTTATAAAATAATAAGAACCTATAAAATGGTGCAGATCTTCCTTCCAGCTTCTTATTTTCACATCATATAACATATACATATATAGGCAGTAACAGTCTTCAATCAATTTTAATACTTTGCTTACTATATATTAAGAAGTTATCCAAATTTATCTCATTACCCTGCCATTAAGCATAGCAGGTTCACTTAAAATCTGTGCTTTTATGGGCTACCTTCATTAACAAAGCCTTCTATCAATTTAAACTGTCCAAACTCTGTCAACCTAACTCTCCTTCAGCTTTCCACCTATTATCCAAATATAAGTCTAAAACGTTGAGAAACAAAGTGTCTTCTGCATTAACCTGATTCTGCTTAAACATAAGAAATCATATGGAGTATATTGCCACCTCAACTGCATTACCCACCATCTTAAAACATGTACATGTTATTACGAAAAACATTTTAAATCTCTGTGACATGAAAGAGTCGGTGCAGATTATCATAACCTTTGGAAGATACAGAAAACAACATGAATCTATGTCACCCTGACTAAGCATCATAAAATAAATGCGTGATATGGACAAAACATTTCCATTTCATGGCAGTCTCTAACATATACTTCCTAAATTTTTCTCATGCCAGCCCACTCCCAGTCAAGCCCTTCAACATTCATTTCCCCTAATTTTAAGGTAAATTGTTGCATAAAAACAGAATTTGTACCTCTTACACACACCTACACACTTCACTTCTAAGTTTACTCTTTTCTTCACACCAGCACTACTTGAACCCAGATGACAAGAAGACAAGTGCAACTACTATGCAGTAACTTACAGAAATGCTAACTTCATTATTTTAATACATTTTAAATAAATAAACATAATAGAGCAGGATTCTATTATATGTAATTGAAAGAACTATTCTTTAAGATTTTGATTTTTTTTTAACCAGTATTGTTAAAAAATTATCAGGTGATGCATTTTTTCTACAGAGAACACTTCTGGTCAGCTAAACAATTTTAAGTAAAAAAAAACCAAAACAACTGAATACATTACTTACCTGTTGGGGTAATATAAATGTGTTCCTTTTCTATTTCCATAGCTGCTTAACAGAGCTGACTGTGAAATGTAAAGTCTTAATGTTTTCCCTCCAGGGCCTAAACAGAAACAGAAAAGCTTAGAGAACAAAAAACACTAGACTAAAGTAAAATGCAAAGATTTCACTCAAAAAAAATATAAAACTGTGGGGGCTTAAGCTATAATTGATTATTAGTAACAGCTGAAAATTTCCTGGGAAGGTAAATGGTGTAGCAAGAGAGAAGCACCACCTTCTAACACATCTAAGCCTGGATACCTTAGAAGCTGTCAGTTCTGTTGCTTATAAAGGGGACAAAAGCCGTTATTTTAAGGCTAAAAGCCCCATGTACGCAGCTTTTTTTAGCTGATAAAAGCCACCTCTATCAACCTAGACTGTCCTGTTCTGCCACCTGGTTATCTGTATGAGTGTACAATATCAATGTTATAATTGCATCCCCGAGAAAAACGTTCTTCATGTGAATGATGCTGATAAAATGGTACCAATTTATCGAGTTCAGCCCAGCCCTTAGAAAACAAGCTAATTTTTGATCCTCCCCCCAAAGACATATGCTTTTATTGTATGTGTACATATAGCTATCAAGCTTTCACATCTGTGCCACTCTTCAAACACTCCTTGCAACCACCATTCAATCTGCAAGGGATAAAGTTCTCCTCATTTAAACACATCTCTTTTTCTGTTCCTCTTTCTCCCCCTTCCTAGTAACTGCTATTCTCCAAACCATGTCACTGTGAACAGGATGGCATCATCCATCTTTCCTTTATGTACACAAAAAATAAAGCAGTCCCAGAATTCCCTTATACACTTTTTCACCTGCAAGATTTTTCACAAATCCCTTCATAGGCCTGGGAATATTACTTGGATTTGTGTCTGTCCCATAAGAATTCATTAGCCCTTTTTTCCCATCTCATCCTTTGTTGCCCTGAAAACTGTTCACCGTTTCTTGAGTGCCAAGATTGCGACACCAAACAACTGCATTCCCTTCCCCTTCTCTTCCCTGCTTTTCTCCTTTCATGCCCACTTGCCTGCCACAGACCCATTAACGGTAAATGATTCATCACAGACCGTTGGCTATAAAGAAACTGGTCTGGGGCACAGCATTCAGCTGTCAAGGTCTTGTATTTCCTAATGCCAAGCCACACAGTTCCCAGCCTTCTGCAGTAAGAGTCTTCTTTGCCTTACACATTTTTTTTAAAATAAACATTTTTCATGAGTTACCTCAAGCTATCATTCAGGAGTTGTCAAGTGTTCCCAGTCACTGTT